TGTTCAGGTCAGAGAACTTTCAGTCACAATCTCCAGCTCCCTGAGGTCCACGCACATGCCCTTGAGCCAGACATCGGGGTGTTTATGTGGAATAGCCTGAGTTTTCATTCCATTTGTTTAAAACGCAGTGCCGACCAAACACAACCCCTCTATCGGCCTGAGGCTACCATTTGTAGTACTCAAGGCTGGATCCAAAATGGCTAAAAAGAGAGGAGGGTGGCCCAAGCACAAAAGTAGGGAACTGGCAGTGGCAAAGGCTTAAAGGGGAGAAAAAAATACCGTCTATGTCCCAGATGGGATAGAGATGAACTATGGGGCAAGAATTCCTCAAATATCCAGTGACAACCAGCAGCCATTGCAACAGAAAACTGTACAACCAAAGTCCCCGCACTCTGCACTTCGTTTTCTCCTTGTAGGTAATAAACAGAACACACAAATTCTGACCCTAGGTGTTGGGGTATTTTTACTGTTTAGAGAGCTGACTGGCTCACCATAGTCTAGGAGTCTTTTTGCTTCCATTTTATTGATGACAACACTGAGTCTCTGAGGATGAAACAACTGATCCAGGTTCATCCACAAACCTGACTCCTCTCCCAGTGCTCTGCCCTCTGCCTTTTGCATAAAAAGAAACTCACGACTGAAAACCCGCAACCCCACACAGCGCCCGATATCAATTCCCGGGTATTTGTGTTTCTGAATTTTCAGGAACTGGCTGGCCTTGTCCAGAGATATTTGACAGTGTATTAACTTTTAATATGCTAAGTGGTGAGATGCTCTTTACCTTGAATCTCCAACACATTCAGCTCTCACACCAGCCTCGGTTATTTCTACTCCCCAAACTAGTCATGTTCATTTTCAGCCAGAAGGCAGGGAGACTATGCAGTTCCACTCCTGGGAGTGGGTGACAGGGACCTACTGGGCTGTCCCACCTGTAGGTCCTCAGAATACCATCTCTGGATACAAGGTATCAGAGCTACCAGCACCCAGCCTTCGGCCAAGCCAATCCTTCATGTTGCATGTGGGGAAACAAGCCCAGAGAGGAGAAGTGGCTTGTCTGCAGTCACACAGCCCCCCTGCTGTGCCTGTCCTCACCTGGACCGCCCTCCTCCCCATCCTATTGAAGTCCCACCTGTCCAGTCTTCCTGCTCCAGGAGGTAGGGGTGAATTCCCACACTGCCTAGCACTGCACAGTAATACGATATCCTCACCTGGTGCCAGACGAAGCCGACCTTATACCGGCATCCTGCTGGAGCCTCACCCCACCCCTGTGAGGTGCGCCCTGCTGGTGCCCACGTTTTACAGATGGGGAAACTGAGGCACTAAGGGGCACTTACCTAGAGTCACTCAGAACTGGATTTGAACCCATGACATCTGAGTCCAAACTCCACCCAAGTCTTGGGGCTTGGTATCCCCAGCCACAGCTCAGCCCACCTTCCCTGAGAGAGAGGTGAGTGAGACCTCACGCCACCATCTGCCAGTTCAGCTGCCCCATATGAGCCTCTCGGCACCTGAGATCCCATCTCGGATGTACACACCAGGGTGTTTGTTGTTGTGGAAACTGCCTCACAATTTCTTCCATGGAAACAGCCCTAGCAGAACACACACATATTTTTATTGTGAGCTGTTATTTCTGAAAAACAGGGGCTCACAGAAGCCTGTGGCTCAGGGCAGGGCCTGGTGCCGGGGAGGGAGCCGCCTGAGAGAGGAGGAAGTGACCGAAGCTGTTCTGCTCTGTGCCCTCACCCTTCCAGCCCCCCCCCCAGCCCATAGCCTTGGGGGTCTCAAACTAGCAACGCAGGGGCCAAATCCAGCTACGAATGTGTTGTGTTTGGCCCTGGAATAGTTTTACTGGGAAGATTTTACATCAAATCCCAGGTGTCCAGATTCTCTTAGGAGATGAGAAAATCTGCCTCACTGGCCCCATGTTCTCCCACAAGAGCTAAGAAATCACTGCCCCCTTTAGAAGAGCTGAGATTCTTCGCTTTGCCCCAGTCCCCACCACTCTCTGTTGTCTCCCACCCACCAACTTCACTCATTCACAAAACCTGCCTTGGCCCTCACAGCTATTTGAATGTGCAACCCCTGCCTTCTGTTCTGTCCCAGGACCCAGGATCTCAGTGCTGGGCCTATGAATCCCCAGTGTGACAGAACCCCTGAGCCTTGGCCAGATTCCCAGAACTAGAGAACACCCACATTTTCCACTGGTCACACTGCAGACCCCAGCTCATTCGAATCACCAACCCTCAGAAGGTTCAGCGACTCACCTCTCTGTCAATCAGGAGGAGCCTCGCCAAACTTCTTAGTGAAGCTCTTTATTTACACTAAACATTATGGGGAGCCCCAAAATACAAACAGGCCCCAGTAGGACCACTTCAGGCCTGCAGACCTTGGAACCTGGATCCTTCGGGCCCACTCGTCCTATTGACCTCCCCTATTGTCAAGATGGGGAAACTGAGTCTCGGACAAAGGAACCGGGCGGCCAAAGGCATAGCAAACCGCTACAACAGGCCAGTGTTGACTGGTCATAGCCCCTTCCTCAGAGGCCCACCCCCCTCTGGAGTTCTCCCTTCTTTCCTTTATCAAAACCCACTCCCAGGAAAAAGCCTGAAACTCATTCACACCATGGTCTCCAGACTGGTGATGGCTTCCCCCTCTCAGGGGATCTAAAGGAACTGGAGTTTTTAGTTAAAGGAATAAAGCCCAAGTGAAAGAATTGCAGACATTGGCTGTGGATAGAATTAGACGACGGAGGAAAAACAGGGAAACTTCCTGCAGTTTCTAGAATCACTCTGCATCGTGTGTGATTAGAACAGGGCAGGCCTGGTCTCATGAAGGCCTCAGTCTCCCCATCTCTAAAATGGGCGTAACCCAGCTCTGAGATCCCTCATTCTCGGTACACAGGCAGGACATTGGATCTCCGGAGCTTACCCACACTAATAGGCAAGGCGGTGGAGGAGTCATTCCCAGCCTATCCCGCAGGGTCTCTGCCAGTCAGGCCCCTGGAAGGTCCGGACAGAGGTCTCATTGTCAGCAATAGAGGGAGGCTCAGCACCTAAACTCCAGGCAGGAATTGCCCATCTCCTTGTACCCCTGAGCCATAGACTGGACTCCCAGGACCACTGAGTTGTTACATCCATGAACCATTGGACTGTTTCCTTCTCATCACTCTCCCCAGCACCCAACACCAGGCTGGGCCCGTGGAGGAGGTTCGAGAAACATGCAGTGAATGAACGAATGGATGAATGAGCCAACAAATGACAGATTGTTAGAATCCCATGCCTGTGTGGCATCAGACCACATGCTCCCGTAACTGACAGCCCAGTGTTCCGGCTCTGGCCCCAGCAGGCCAATAATGGTGCTGTTCTGGGATCCCTCTGATTCCCCCTTCTCATGAGTGGACTGAGGCCAGAGGTCTGATGAGGTGTGTGTCCCTCTCCCGCCCCTCCCTGTCCCCCCGGCTGTCTTCATTAAACACAGGTGAACTTGGGTTGGGCTGGCCTCAGGGACAGGACTGGCATTGCCCAGCTGCAGGGGACCATTCATGGATTTTCCATATGACACCCCAGGCCAAACTCGCAACACTCGAACGTGTCACCTATGTCCAGTGGGTGGGAGGAGTCTAAGGTGGTTGGTGGCCTCAAGTGCCAGGCCCTGAGGAAAGGAATCAAACTGGTCTTTTTACCAAGGCACAGTTTGGACACAAGTCGGGAAACAGGTAAACCCTGCTGTGGTCACGGCCGTGCTGGAGGCGAAGGCAGGGAGGTGCGGTCTGCCTGGGGTGGAGGGGACGGCTTCTCAGCAGAGGGGCCCAGGAGTGGGCTCACCATTGTAGATGGAAGGAGAGGCCCTTCCTTGCTCATTGAGCAGCCCGAACAAGGCAGGACGTGTGCCAGGGCACTGGTTAGGGAAAAATGAAACGACACACCAGTGACTTGGGGTGACCCAGGGTAACATCAAAGGAAAGAGATAAGACAGTCAAAGCACTCACCTTTGAGGGCCCAGCAGCCAGTGACGCGTGCCCCTTCCACTGGATCTGGCCTCTGACTCTCACACCCCTGAATTTCCATGTGAGAGTTTTCTGTTTCAGGCTCCTCTTCTAAGGTACAAATGCACCGGAGAGAAGTTGGGGCCATAACCACCCAGCTGAGCATCCGCCACCCCCCAAGCACCACTCAGGCATGTCATGTGTGTCCTCTGGGGTCAGCTCCTCAGTGCAGGCACTCTGTCCTATTTGCCCCTCTATCCCAGTGTCCAGAACAATGCCAGGCACATAGTAGGTGCTCAGCAAATACTCGTTGACTGCATGAATTATCTCATGAGATGCTCACAGGCACCCATGGTTAGGTAGGCTCACCATCCTCATTGCAGAGGAAGGCACTGGGCTCAGAATGCTAAGGGCACAGTCTGGGACTCTAACCTGGCAGAAGCTTCCAAGTCTGTGCTCTCAACAGGTCAGGCAAGTGCAAAGCAGGAGCAAGAGTGTGGGCGTGAGGTGGGCATGATGGTGGGTATTCACTTTCTGGGGCAGCTGTAACATGTGACCACAGACTGGAGGCCAGACGTCTGAAATCAAGGTGTCGGCAGCCACGCTCCCTCCACAGGTTCTAGGGAGCTTTCCATCCCTTGACTTTCCAGCTCTTGATGGCTTGTGGCTGCATCACTACACTCTCTGCTTCACCTCCAGACGGCCTTCTTGCCTCTGTGTCTGTGTCTTCTCCTCTTCTGTCTCTTGTAAGGATGCTTGTCATTGGATTTAGGGCCTATCTAGATAATCCAGAGTGAACTCATCTCAAGATCTTATATTATATCTGCAAAGACCATTCTCCCAGAAAGGGTCACATTCACAGGTTCTGGGGAGCACGGGGCTCTAGACCTCTTCCTGCTTTGATTTTTCCTCTCTCCATCCTTTGCCATGTGGCCAGACCCACTTGGGACAATTCCAGGAATGTGTGTGTCTCTCCTGGGCTCTCCTGGCCAACCTCTCTGCACTCTGTCCACAGGTTTGCCAGGTACTGCTCCAGACCTGGAAAAGAGAAGGCAGATTTTTGGACAAAACTTTATACCTCCAAAGAAGCCAAAAACCTTCCTGCAGCTCGTGTGGGAAGCGCTGCAAGATGTGACACTGATCATCCTGGAAATCGCGGCCATCATCTCCTTGGGGCTCTCCTTCTACCACCCACCTGGCGAGGGCAACGAAGGTAAGCAGGGGTCCTGCCCCCTCCCTGCAGCATGTGTGCCTGGCTCATCCCGGGCACTCAGGGCTCCGGCCACTGCTCCTTCCAGGTGAGGAAACCAAGTCCCAAGGGTAGGGCCTCACGCACAGCCAATCAGTGGCGGAGCCAAAGCCCAGGCTCAGAGCCCCGCCCCCAGTGTTCCCATGTGTGAAATGCAAGGGCTGGACCGACAATAGTAATAATGACAGCGATCAGTCATTGAGCACTTACAGCATGCCAAGCTCTGGGCTGTTGTCCTCCTAACATCCGTTGAGGTAAGGTCCACGATGACACCCATTTTAAAGACAGGAGGCACAGAGAATTACGTTAACTTGCTCTAGGTCACCCAGCTAATGAAGAGTCCTTGGGTTTTGCAGTGGGACTTGTTAGGAAAACTGCTGCCCAGGCCCCTCCCTGAGAGAGTCTGGTTCTATTGGATAGAGTCCCAGTGGGGTGGCTGTGGACATATGTCCAGACTGCTCTCTGAGGACTCCCCAGTCTCATACCTGAGGACAAAGCCCCCAAATTGCTTACCTGGTGGGCAACATTCACGCTCTTTGATTGACAGTGTTTCAGCCCTATCACAGAGCTCCTCTCAGGTCCCCTGCCCTCTGGATGCTCCAGCCTCTGAGTGACCCTCCTTCAGCTCCAAAGCTGGGCTTCCCCCAAATCCCAAGTCACTGACTCCTTGAGGCGTGCAACTATGAAAATAATTCATGCACTGAATATTCTAAAACAGGCCCCAGCCGGTTTGGTTCAGCGGTTAGAGCGTCGGCCCATGGACCAAAGAGTCCCGGGTTCATTTCTGGTCAAGGATATATACCTCAGTTGCGGTTCAATCCCCGGCCCTGGTTGGGGTCATGCGGGAAGTAGCCGATCGATGTGTCTCTGTCACATTGATGTTTCTCTCTCTCTCTCTCTCTCTCTCTCTCTCTCTCTCTTTCCCTCCCTCCCAGTCCATCTGAAAATCTATGGAATAATATCCTGGGTGAGGATTAAAAAAAATAATATATATATATATACACACACACACACGTAGAGCAGGAATTGCAAACTACAGCCCATGGGCCCAGTCAGGCTCACTTTCCTGTTTTTGAACTAAGATTGGCCTATGAACTAAGATTGGTTTTTACATTTTTCAATGGTTGAAAAAAATCAAAAGAATACTATTTTGTGACGTGACTTTTACATGAAATTCCTCCTTCGTTGTGTAAAAATAAAGTTGTATTGGAACACTCCCATTTCTTTTTCAGATTGGGATATAAGTTTGCTTTTGAGCTTCCTGGCAACCAAGGCAGAAAGGGAATTGGGATGGTTTACATAGCTCAAGTTCTCAACAGGAGGAAAAACAGTTCTGTAGGAAGCTAGCATGTCCCCTGACAACGAATTCTGGGATGAACTTCCACATGGTTCATTATAAGAGATGAATAATGGGCAGCATTCTTTGCAGAAGTTTTATAGAAAATGTAAATGATTGTACATGGCTATTTGAATAAACCTTGAACAGAACCAAGGATGTGATACAAACACATAATAATTGTCCTTACTATTTTTATAACCACCACTAGTTGAGGGCTTTTACCGTAGAAGTTCATCTGATCCTCACAACAGCCCTGTGGGTAGGTGCTATAATGATCCAGGAAACAGAGGCCCTGAGGTAGGAAATGACTTCTCCGTCACACTCCAGGAACTATGACTCAGACAGACGTCTGGCTTCTGAGCCCTCGCTCCGATTCCGCAGAAAGAGATGGGGTCAAGGCCATGCCAGCTGAGTAGGTGGCCTCATGTGACCCAATTCAGTGCAAGACTAGAACTCAGAGGGTAAGTGGTGGAGAGGGGAGAGTGGGGGCACACAGAGAGCTCCCAGTGAGTGCCAGGGAGAACCCTTCCCAGAGCCCTCCAAACAGATGGCTGTAGTCACCTCCATCTGCAGAGGGGGAAACCAAGGCCGAGAGTGAAGAAGGACTTGCCTAACATCACACAGCGTGTACACACTAGGGCTGGATTGGAAACCCAAGTCTTCCAGTTCTTTTCACTGCCCGTCCCTGCCTTGCGCTGAGACGCTGGTGCAGACCACACTCTGGGTCGATGAGGGCAGCTGTGCACTAGCCCCACAGAGTGAAGTTCCTGAACTTTGTGACGGTACTTAACCTCCCCACACCCGGGCCCTGGCCTGAGCTCTGAGCTCTGGACCGTCTATGTTGCCAGGACCACCCCCTGCCAAGTCGGACACAGGCTTCATCAGTTACGTAAAAAGTGCTGCTGGTGATGGACTAGCAGGCTGTCGAGTGCCTTGCAGCACCCACTGCCCGTCCCCATTTTCTCTCTTGGCTCAGAGATCTCTAGACTCTTGTCAGAGCTCACACAGCGTGTTTGTGCAGGACTAGGATTGACATACTCTGTGCTCCCAACTCCCGGCCAATGTAGTTTCCCTGGTGCCAGAGTGACAAGCACATAGTAGGTGCTTAGAAAACGATTGTGGCTTGACCAGTTTTGAGGGCCCTTATTTGATGCCAGGCCCTGATAACCACCTAGGCAGTAACTTCCCCATTTTACTGGTTAACAAGCAGAGGGAGGCCCAGAGAGCCCACGTGGGTTCCCCAAGGTCACACAGGCCACACCCTAGAAAACCCCAGGTCCAGGGAGAGCAGCTGCGGTCACGATCCTGCCCTGCCCGTCTGAGGGCCCCAGAGGAGATCTCAGCAAGGCCCGCCCACTCCCTTCTTTCTTCCCCTTCCTGGTCTCCTCTCCCTAATTGCACCACACAGCAGGAGTTGTCCCCAGGGTCCAGCGGCTCCCAGTGGCTCAGTACCTAACCCAGAGATCCATACCCCCACTTTCTGGCTATTTCAGGGCAACATGTAACCATCAGACAGTGCTCAGAGGAGATCAAAGCTAATGGGCTTTAGCTGGCAGAGTGAGAGCCCTCAAGAGCCCAGGGGGCTCCTTGGCATGGAATCCGCAAGGGCAGCAGGGAGACCGGGGGTCGAGGCAGTGGGGGCAAATGCTACTCAACCGCTGGGCCTTGGTTTCCAGAGGCCAGTCCAGCGAAAGCAGCTCATGAAAAGTGGGAGAGGACCAGTGTTTATTGTGTACCGTGCCAGGCCTTGACTAGGTCTAGGGTTCACAAAGTCCCTGGGGTCATCCCACTTTACAGCGGTCCAAACTGAGGCTCAAAGAGGCCAAGTCACTTACTCTCAGTCCCACAGAAACGCCTGGGTTTGAAGCCAGGTCTTTCCAATTCCAGCACCTGAAGGCTTTCCACTGTCCTGCGCTGTCCCCAAGTGTCCTAAATGCTTCGGTATCTGATGGGGGCCCAGTGACGAAGCCTGCGACGGGGAAGGAACAGCCTTCCCAAGCACAGAGTATGCAGCAGGGCCAAGGGACAACAGGAGTCCTGCAAAGTGCAGCTCTGGGCTCTGCGTCTCAGATAACTCCCCTGTCCCGGAGCATGCATTTCCGGAGGCTGGGTTTGTGTTTAGCAAGGTTCACCTGTGTTTTCCAGTTTGGGGGGTGGTGGTTTATTGGTGTCATTCACGGTGGTAGAGGGGCACCCTGGTTCCCCACCTCCCATTATCACGTGGTGTGAAATACAGCTGGATCCCCACCCAGGCTGGCTGGGGAACTCGAATGCAATGGTGTGTGCCAGACCCTGGGCGACAGGAAGCAGCCGCTGTATCTGAGCCTTTGCTGCGTGCTCACTGCAGTAGATGCTTTACGTAAAGGCTCACCCTGAGTCCTCTCAGCCGCCTAGGAGGGAGCGCCTGCCATACCCACATTCTGCAGACGAGAAAACCCAGGCACAGTGGTTCAGTAGACAGCTCATGGGTACGCAGCAGTTAAGTCGTACAGCCAGGATTTGAACTCAGAGCTGGCCCAATGTCAGTTGTCATCAGCATGATTATGAGTATCATTACCACCAAAGGCTGGTCCAGTTTAAAATTACTGGAAAAGTCTTGAAATTCACAAAGGGGGGAAAAGGTAGCTTTCAGAAGCCCATGCGGTGATGCGGTTGTTAACTAGGCTGCGAGGAACGGCTGGTTCTGCGACAGAGGTGGAATTTTCCAGGGGCACATGCAGCTGGGCCTCAGTGATTCTACACTGTCCCCAGCCTGGACGCACCAGGAGCAGGGAGCTGAAAAACATTCCCTGGTACCACTTGGCCTTCTTGTCATATTGTTTCTGTCCCCTGGCTTTCCCAGGTGCTCCTGCTAGGGTCTCTTAAAGCTGCTCTCCTCTCTTCCTTGGGAGTGAATTGGACTCCATACAATTGGCCACAGGTCTATGGCAACATCTTCTACTTTTCCACATGAGGCCAGCATGTGGCAGAGGGGGTGTGGGCTCAGGGACAGTGGGCAGGCCAGGTCCAGTGTCAGATGCTAGGCTCAGGCCTAGATTCAAACTCCAGATCTGCTGTGTGACCCCAGGTGAGTCACTGCCCCTCTCTGAACTGCTTCCCTTTTTTCAGCCAGGATCATTGCATTGAGGATTAAAGTGAATGTTCGGCATATAGCAGGTCTTGCAAATAGCCCAGTTCCCTACCCAGCCCCCAGGGATGGGAACTACTCTGCGTTTTCCAGGAGTAGATGGTCAGACAGGGAAAGGGCCGCTCTCCACCCCGATCCCACCCCAGTAGGAAAAAGGGCCTGAGCTAGTCCTGGCTGCAGCAATCCCTTTGGCTGTGTTACCTCACCTCTTAGGGTCTCAGTTTTCTCATCTGTTAATGCGGCAATACGGCTCACTGTCTGGATCCTTGTCGGGAGGCAGGAGACAGAATATATGAAGGGCTAGGAAAGGCCCTAGCACTTAGCATCATGTGGACAGGCCCAGACTGGGAGGTTCAATGGGGAAGGATGTGGCGTGCAGGGTCACTGTAGGTCACACGGAGGCTCAGATGGAGATGGGCATCCTCACTGTGTAGTAGGGACTCAAATCCAACAAGGGCTGAGTGAGAACCTCCTGTGGCTGAGCACAGGCTGGAGCTTTCACCCCCTTTTCCTTGAGCCCAGAAAGTGGTCTCAGTGACTCCCCTTTTACAGACGAGGATGCTACAGTTCAGGAAGGGCAGCGACTTACCCAGGGTTGCACAGGGACAGCAGTGGGGTTCAGACCAGCTCGTCGGAGGGCAGGTCCAGTGCTGTGGCTCCTACACCCCGACCTAGAAAGCTGCCTCGTGGCTGCTGGGAGAATGGAAGGAAAGGACAGCAGCCAAACTGCATTTCAGACCCTAAAGCAGGTTCCGTGTTGACTGACCCCGTTCTGTGCCATCTTTTCCTCTTTCCCATGAATCAGGCCTCTCCTTTGTGCCAGGTCTGTGCTGGAGATGCCGTGGACCTTACCCCATTCCATTTCAACCCTCACAACGGTCCCCAAGATAAAGCACATTTTTCCTACTTTACAGATGAGAAAACTGAGGTTCAGAGAGGTGAGGTCATTTACCCGAGATCTCACAGCTCGAACAAAGACAGAAAATCAAAGTAGCTAAGACAGTGGGTCTGAAGCCAGTGCCCTAGCTCCCCGCTTGCCCTTCCCAGCTTTGGCAAGTCACTCGGCCTCTCTAAGGAGCCTCAGCTTCCACACCTGTGAAATGGGCAGACGGAGAGCTCTGAGATGATGTGTGTGATACACTCTGCACAGAGAGAGGGCTGGCTCCCAGACACACTGGATAAATGTATCATGATTATCCCATTATCAACATTTTTTGCTTGGCGGAGCTGGGATTTCAAGCCAGGCCCCCGAGCCCCTTCTGCCTAGCTGATCCCACACCACCTGCTTCCTCTGCTCTCTGCAGGGTGCGCCGCAGCCCAGGCCGGGGCAGAGGATGAAGGGGAGGCAGAAGCAGGCTGGATCGAGGGGGCTGCCATCCTCCTCTCAGTCATCTGTGTGGTTCTGGTCACGGCCTTCAATGACTGGAGCAAAGAGAAGCAGTTCCGGGGCCTGCAGAGCCGCATCGAGCAGGAGCAGAAGTTCACCGTGGTCCGGGCGGGCCAGGTGGTCCAGATCCCCGTGGCCGAGATTGTGGTTGGGGACATCGCCCAAATCAAATATGGTAAGTGTCCCAGCCATAGAGCAAGGTGCTAGAGCTGGAGCAGAGGTGGGACAGGCCAAGCAGACCCAAAGAGGCTGACCCAGGGAAGGGGGTGGGCCCCTTGAAGGCTGACCCCAAGCCAAGATGTCTTCTGAGATCCTTTGGAAGTAGAAGGCTACTTCCTAGAGCGGGTAGGATTTTCAAATCCATTTAACTCAGAAATGGCCGGTACGTGGTACACATGCCACCAGTCTAAATACCTGTGCCCATAGCCGACACTACTAATCAGTCACAGCTCGGAGCCCAGGTGCCGCCGCAGAAGCCTTCTCAACACGTCACTCCACGGACTGCTGACGCTCAGATGGGTTTGAGAGATAAAATCCATTTCTTATCCCTGATTCGACAATTGATGGATGGTTGTTGGGCTAGAGAGGGTGTCAGGGGGAGTCGACATAGATGAATGAACATTCTAAGCCTGTGGTACTGCCATGGAGAAAGTGGGCAGGCTGGTGCCAAAGGGGTTTAGGAGAGTATGCCCTTGGGAAAGTAGAGGCAGAAGATGGGGGCGAGATGGGAGTATACCCCTCCTCACTCAGCCCTCAGGGGCTTGGGTTCCTCTGATAATGGGGCTGTCCTGGCGTCTCCTCCGCCTAGCCCAGAGAGACTAGCCCCTTTCAAAATAATTCCTCAAATTGTAGTTGAAACCAGAGAATGAATTGAGAAGATTAGGCCTCAAAACCATAGGAGGCCAAGAGAAGCACTTAATGAACTAAAGAACATGCCTGCTTGAGCTACAATTGTTGTTGGGCCGACCTCAGCCCTCCGGCCTTGTCACTCACATTGGCTCTGGCTTCCAGCTGCCTGTTGGCCTGGGAGGGGCGCCATCTTGGCTCCTGCACCCCGAGAGCTCTAGGCAGCTGGTCCCCAGCGGTGAACCTTACCTTATAATCATAACTTTAGGGGAACATTCCAGCCTCTTCAGCCACCTGAGACCCTGCTGACTCTCTTGACCTTCCTCCCATCAGGTGATCTCCTCCCTGCCGACGGCCTCTTCATCCAGGGCAACGACCTCAAGATCGACGAAAGCTCCCTGACCGGGGAGTCTGACCAGGTGCGCAAGTCCGTGGACAAGGACCCCATGCTGCTGTCAGGTGAGCTGCGGCCCGGCAGTGTGCTCACGCCCATTGCGAGTTCCTGCACCCTAAGAGGGTGCATATGGCCCCTTCGTGAGGCTGGAGGGTCTTGGAGGCTTTGGTCCGTGGCTCCAGGTCTCCGGCCAGCTCAGCCCCAAGGGAGAACTTCCTCTCTTTGCTCCAGCGAACGTGCACTGAGTACTGGGCTCAGCGCTGCTCTGGGGATAGTGCAGTGAATGAAACGACAACGAACCCTGCCTTCGTGCAACTGACCTTCTAGTGACTTGGTTTTCTGAGAAGCAAACACGGAAGCCCATTCTCATCAGTGATGAGAACGAATCAGCCAGGTGACACATGTTTGGGACACCTGTGTGCTAGGCACTGGCTGGGTGCTAGAGAAATAGGAAGGAGTGGGGCAGATGAGGCCTCGGCCCTCGGGGGCTGTGGTGTAGTGAGGAGAGGTAGGCTGTGGGAAAATTCCAGACGGTGCTAAGTGTGTGACAAAAATAAAGCAGGACAATGGGAGGCAGGTGGCCGGAGAGGCCAGGGGAGGCCCTGCGTGCGCTGAGGTGTGAATGATGAGCAAGACTGGCCTGTGACTTCCCAGGGAAAGGTATACTAGGCAGAAGGAACCGCAGGTGCAGAGTCCCACAGGCAGGAGGACTGTGAGCAAGACAGAGATTTTTCATGTGATGTAGATTCTCTGGAAAGTAGTGAACTGATCACATTTACGTTTTTAAAATCTCACTCTGGCTGCTGCAGGGGGCAAGAAAGGAATTGGGGAGATCCTGCAGAGGTAAGGCACCAGCCAGGTGACCACCGTCCCTCCAACACGGGCACCCAGAAGGCCCCATTGCCTAGCGGTGCTCACCAAACGTCCTCTGATCAGCTACCCTGGGCCCGGCCCGGGCCGAGCAGTGGGGCCCGCCTCTGGCTTCGGGAACCTCCAGCCCAGCCAGGCTGACATAAGCAGGCCGGCAGACAGCTCATCCCACAGTAGAAGAGTGAGGAAGGTGTACGAAAGCCGTAAGGGAACAGAACGGGGAGGTGGGATTGGGCGGGTTTAAGTGTGGGGGCGGCCCACCAAACAGTTGTGGAGGAAGGGCCCTGCTCGCAGAGGCAAACCTGTAAGAGGCAAGAGGCCTGAAGGAGTCGGGGGCATCCTAGAAATGCACAGAGGACGTTCAGCAGGTCTGCTGGAGAGGATGGAAGCCTCAAACGCCCTCTTGGAACTTAGGGACACATGAGAGCTTAGGGCCATGGTCCTGTGGCCCTGTTCCATCCTCTGGACTGAAGCGGTTAGCGGAGAGGTGAGCGTTCTTGGGAGAACCAGCTAGGCGCGTCAGGTGGGTCGTCTGGACCAGTGGAAGTCAAGGGGAGGCGCTGGGCCTGAGTCGACGTTGTGTCCCTTCCTCTAGTCAAGAAGCCTCATAACCGGGGAGGGGTGGTAGGATGTCTCCAAGGAACTGGATGTCCCAGAGACCAAGGGATCCTAAGAGACCCCCAGGCCCTTCGAGACTTGGCAGTGAGCTCTGCCTTCAGTGAGGAAGAACAGGAGACCAGGGACAGACAAAAGGTACCCAGGTCTTAGCAAGTATCCTGTGAAGCCCAAACTGGTAGGGTCACAGTGGGGTCAGCATGAGTCCTCAGCTAGGGAATGGGTAGTCTCTGACACTGAGGGAAGAGAGATACCATGGGGCACCCCAAGCTCAAGTTGAACCATTGCTTTGGTTTCAGCCTATACAACTGGCTGGAAGCCTAGGTATGACGTTGACTCTGGGCCTTTGGACCGCAGGAGACAGCAGCCATGGTCTCCCACGGTGCCCGCGTGGACAAGATGGAGAAGGCTGGGCCGGAGGCCAGGAGATGTCGGCCAGTTTGTGCTGATTCCTGTGGTGCGGGCTATCTGGTGGGAGGTTTCCCGTGGCCTTCCCTGGAACCTTGTCCTGTCACACTATGGAAAGTGTGCCCATCAAGGTCGCAGAGACCACCAGCCCAGGGAGCGTGGCAAAAAGAAAGCAGGAGCCAGGAGCCACGGAGATCACCAGAGCGCAGGGTGGATGAGACTGAAGAAATCGAAACTTGGCTGCAAGCAGCAGGGCCGACGTTCAGAAACAACCGCACGGGGGGTGGGCATGCGGCTTGGCCCAGGCTCCTGGGAAAAGAGTGAGAAAGAGGCAGAGTCAACCCAATAGAAAGCAATCTAACTGGGAAGAGAAAAATTCTGTTACAGAAGAAACATTCTAGAACAAAAGAGGCTGCCTGTAAGGTGGTGAGTTCCCCGTCACTGGTTGTGTATGAGCAGGGTCTGCACAGGCTGTGGGAGGGAGTGTTATAGAGTAGGCCCAAGCACTGAATGGACATGAAAATCACGGGTTCACCACACCCTCTCACCCTGACCTCTCCTACAGACCCCTGGCTCCGTCCCCTCCGCCCTGCCTGTGCTGAGGCTGCTCCCTTCTCCCTAAGGGCCCCCTCTCCCTTTGGCATTGCTCTTTTAACTTCTGCCCGTCTGCTCAGCCTGCCTCCTTCACGAAACCTCCTCTGAGCACCACCCCTGGCATCACTCCCATGCTGCCTGGGGCCTACGTGGCAGCCTGTGACAACCACACTGTGCTGGCCCATCCGGGCACAGCCTCGGAATGTTGACCGAGTTTTGCTCTGCGCAAACCATCTCAAATGAAATTAAGAACAAAACCCACCTGCGCTCCTGCCACAAACACATCGAATGGGTCTCACTTTAATGGGCTTCTTCCATCTCTGGCCATACAGAGACAGACAGAGATCAGGACAGACACACTGCGATACACTTCTGCATCGATCCTCTCACCCAAGCGGGGCCCAGCAGGCAGGAGCCCGGGCCCAAGGTCATCAGGAGGTCAGCCCAGCCCACCCCTGGGCCCTGCCCACCCAGGGACTCGGGCACCGCCTGCCGGCGCGAGGAAAGAGGCCGCGCTGAGTTGTAGGAAGAGCAGAGTTGGGCCAGGCTGAGCCAGATCCAGGTTCTGGAATGAACTCTCTCTGTGGCCTCGGGCACGTTGCTTCACTTCTCTCAGCCTCAGTTTACCTGTGAGGACAGTGGGGTGTCCTGGTGTGTGATACAGGTGGAGCCCTACCCAGCATAGTGCCGGCAGGGGAAGGCTCACAATGAGCTGGTTCCCTTTCCTAGTCCCTGGACTTGGTGAAATAGTCTTGGGTTCCAGTTCCAATTCTGCCCCTTATTGGCTGGGAGACCCTGGACAAGTTTCTTATTCTTTCTGAGCCTCCATTTCTCACTTGTAAAATGGGAGAGTAACCCAGCTCATGATTGTGTCAAAGTATCCACTTCCCTCTCCCTTCCTTCATCTCGACTGTCCCTTTCCCTCTCTCTGGGCTGCCTGCCTTCTCTCCCCCATCCAGCTCCTCCCACCTTCAGCCTACAGGAGCCTGCTTCCTCCAGGGAGTTTTCCCTGATTGCTCTCCTCCCCAGTGCACTGAATTCTGGATAGCTGCCATTTGGATGCTCATTTTTGCACCTGACCAGACACCTCAGTCCCTGTCCCTTTGCTGGAAGGCCTTGGTGGGCCTTCTGGTCAGATGACCCTTGGGAAACACAGAGGGACCAGGCTGGGGGCGCCTGCAGGGTCTCCCTGGTAGTTCAGAAACCCCCTTGTGGCCTCTGGCACACTGCTTCAGCCTAGAGGAAGGCAAAGGACACTCCAGTTCTGAGTCAGCTGGCAAAGCCGTGCCTGGCCTGTGGTCCTGGACAGGTCCCTTCATCTCTCGGAGCCTCCATGTTTGTGTCTGTGCAATGAGGGAGCAGTTGGGGGGCCCTTCCCCCTGCCTACCCCATAGGGCTGTGTGGAGACCACGTGCACAGACAGAGGTGACTGTCCTTTCTTTGCAAGTGGTGCTGTGTGAGGTGCTACGTGTGGAACAAGAGCAGCCTTTGGAGACAGAGCACTCAGGTTCCAGCCCTCCCTCCGTCGGCTACGGCTGTGACCTCTGGCCCCCAAGACCTCAGCCTCCTCATCTGCCAAATGGGGCAGACCAGCCTTCAGAAAGACTCTGATGTCCCCAGTGCCCGGGGCACAAGGAAATCCTAAAGGCCTGGAGCTCCCTCCCCAGGACGGCCAGGAGGCTCCAGCCCATGTCCGGTTCTTCGGACCAGGCAGTAGAAACAGTCAGGGGTCACAGCTCACATGTCCCCAACCCCAGCAGGGAGAACATGGGCGCCAAACCAGAGCGCAGCTACCCCCGCTGCTGCCCAGGGACTGCCACTCAGCGCGCCGCAGCGTCCCTGTGCCGGGTGTTCGTGCGCAGCGCCCCAGTGTTTAAGTGTTGACCAGACATCCCCATTCTTTAACCCTTTTGGGGGTCACGCAACAGAGGGGTGGGCCCCAGAGCAGAAACTCTGACCTGGGCCTGTTTCTTCTGTTTTACATTTGTATTTTAAGATAATTTCAAACTTTTAGAAAAATGGCAAGAATAGTACAAAGAACACCTACACGCCCTTCCCTCTGACAACTGTTGCTACCAGTTAGCCCTGTCTGCTCTTTCAGGAGCCTCCCTCCTCCTTGTCACGCACACGCGGGGGCCTGGGCCCTTCCTCCGTCAGGTCTGTTCTCTAAGGAAAGGACACTCCCGTGTGCAACCACAGCGCTGCTGTTGATTCAGGAAACCACTCTGATGAAGTGCTGCCGCTTACTATACTGACCACATCCACGTTTGCCTCCTGTCCCCACAGCCTCCTCCAGCTGGGGCCCAGTGCAGGACACGGTGTGGCATTTAGGTGCCCTGTCGCCCCGGCCGGTTTGACTCAGGGGTTAGAGCATCCACCCACAGACCGGAGAGTCCCAGGTTCGGTTCCCGCTAAGGGCACGTACCTCAGTTGCGGTTTGTCCCCGGCACCAGTTGGGGTCATATGAGTGGCAGCCACTCGATGTGTCTTCTCTCGCATCGATGTTTCTCTCTCTCTTCCTCCCTTTCTCCCTCCCGCTCTATCTGAAGATAAATACAAAACTGTCCTTGGGTGAAGA